CAGACATTGTTATTAAAGACCACAAACAAAAAAAGTACCTCCTTATTGATATGGCAGTCCCTGCAGACTGCAATGTCTCTTTGAAGATATTCAAAAAGCAGTCAAAATAGAAGGACCTTGAAATAGAAATCTCAAAAATGTGGCACATCCCTGTTGTAGTTGGAGCCCTAGGATTGGTTGGAAAAGATTCCAGTAGACTAATTGAAGGGATTCCTGGAAGTCCATGCCTCAAAGAGATACAAAAAATTGTTCTGACAAGTACAGCCCACACTTTACGAAGGGCTTTGTCCATGTAATTTTTTTTTTTCAGTGGAAGGTGTCATGATGCCATTTCTAACCTTAGGTCCCTAGGCGGGATCCGGAAAGAAATGTGTAAACGCCAGAAATCAAAGGAAATAATAATAATAATAATAATAATAATAATAATAATGTTTTATCTTGGTGAATTAAGATGGACTACAGCAAATATCTCGTTCAGCGCCATTTATTTTCTTGCCCGTTGTTTTACTGTAACCAAATGTTTATCTCTCTTCATGAATGACAATAGTGAAGGAGCCTCATAACCGATTGTCGAGAGGTTGTTTTATTATAAGTTTGAAGGATGGGAAACCAAGGCGATTTAGAAGGCAGATTCTAGGGAACACTCTCAATCGGAAACCCTGAACGGATTGGCTTACCTGCCTTGAAGGTGTTTCTAACTGGAACACCACCTGTATGATTATGTGTTGCTTTTATCAAAACCTCTCGTCATGTCACGCATATTTGGCTGCGATGCATGTGTCCAGTATACCATTATATTATGTCATTAGTCATTAGGCCTCTTATTTTTGTATCGCGACGTCATTTTCTTAGTCTCCTGCTCTCTTACTCATCCAATAATAATAATAATAATAATAACAACAACAACAAGGAGAATGAAAAGAAAAATGGTGATAAAATAATTTAATAAGGAATGAACATATTTTTCTTTTCATATAGTAATAAATTTTCATACAAAGTAGATGTATCCGTCAGTGTTTTGTAGTTTAATTTTTTATATTTTATGCAATCCAATTTTTCACAATAAAATTGGCATTTACCAATTGATGTTGGTAAAATGTTGATGATATATTTATATGAAACATATTTTATATGAAACATTTATATGAAACATATTTATATGAAACATATTTATATGAAACATATTTATATGAAACATATTTATATGAAACATATTTATATGAAATTTTATATGAAACATTTATATGAAAATTATATGAAACATATTTATAGAAATATTTATAAAAATATTTATGAAATATATGATGTTTTCTGCTCGTAAGTCTAAAGTTAGAAATATTTATTTTGATGAGGTGAGATTTATATATAAAGTTGTCGATTTTATATATATATATATATATATATATATATATATATATATATATATATATATCAAAATGAAACATTATTGAGTGATGGAAACAACGTTGGAAATTGTGAAACAGTTGATACACGATCATAGAAAAATAAAAAAAAATCATTCGAAATATTGGCAAAAACAATTAAAATCAACAGCTTTAGGAATATCAGAAAAAGAAATTTGAGAAAAATATGTCTAATAGGCAAAACATGCATTGGCCAGAATTTGATGTTGCAAATATAAACAGAGAAAAAAGATACAAAATATTTTGAACGCTGGCAAAAGACAATCAAACTACCTCCTTTAAGTAAATAACAGAAAGAGGAACTTTCCCAATAATAATTTTAATATTAAATATAAAGCTACATTTGATAGATCTGAAGCATGTACTATGGATGGAATAGTATTGTGAATAATAAAACTATAGATACTTTCGAAATGATGGCGTCAAGCTAAATTCGGAAAAAATATTTAAATACGAAGAAAGTGACGAAATGAATCCCAATTAGTTAGTTGGTAATAGAAAGAATTATTATAAATAGGAGATACCTGTCTAATAGACGACTCAAAAGAGACTACAGCGTGATCAGGATTGCAAATCAAGTAAAGAAGATTGTTGATCATATTTTTTAGGGAAACGAGTAGGGAAATTCATTATTTGACTGAACAACGGAAACTTGTTTGAACACTTGTGTTATAGACAAGCGTATGGTTGCAAAAAAGAAATACGACAACAGCAGAAATAGATTTACGTGGTTTATTTCAACAGGAACGTGTGGATTTGGGACAGCTACCTTGTGGTAAAGTTCATAAGCCGGCTTCGGATCTAGGTCGATCTCTCATAGTAGTTCACACATGTTGACGGTGGTTGATGCTCTCCTGCTGCTGATCGCCCGGCCTGACCGTGACGGTCTGTTCTGCGGCCACTTGTGGACTGACTGTTGAATTTTCGTGTGACCCCTTTTATAGCGTTTTTTTATGGCTTAACAGGCTCGAAAAAGGGAAGCGAGTATAATTAGGAGGGAAGCATTTTTATTGGACGAAAAATAGAGCACTTTAAATATTATTTTATTTTTCGACCGGAACATGTGTGTCGGGAACATTTGTAAAGAAAGATAATGGTAATTTTGTGATGGGGCTTTGTCCCGTTTACATCCGGTTCTCGCTCTTGAATATTTGCCTGTAAATCAGCCGAGATATGTCTTATTTTATTTTATAACACTTGTTTGAGTTTGAACACTGAAAAAATTAGAATGCTTAAGCCATTTGACCTGATGGGCATTAAAATCAACAAACACAAAATTTTTAGCAGATGAAGGCCATTTGTATACCGTCAGATATTTTGTCCAATATATCCTATAGAACGAAAGACGGAGGCGAAAACTTTTTCACTTTGTCATACATCTTTCCACTAACATTTATTTTTTTCTATTATATAGATATGTGTGTGTGTGTGCCTCGCCTTGACCATTACCCAATCAATCACATACTGTATATATATATATATATGTGTGTGTGTGTGTGTGCGTGCGTGCGTGTTTTTGTGTGTGTGAGTGTGTGAGATCGCATGTATGTATGCATGAGTATATATGCTTGTGCGCGTGCGTGCATTGGTTAATAGTTGAATAGGCTAATATAAAGCTGGGAGCGAGAGAAAAAATGAGAACTAAAAGTAAAGAACGAGAGCGAGAATAAAAGCTTGTTTAAGATACACAATTCATATCTATCTATCTATCTATCTATCTATCTATCTGACAGTGACTGTAGCGATAGGCCCTTGAGTACACTTGGGCATGGGATAAACGAAGGGAGAAAATGGCAAAACAGTTGTAGTAATAAACATTGCGTTTTTTGTTAGTCCAAAATGGAAAGGATTCCTAATTCTTTGATGTTAATCACAGTATGAAAATTGTTTACAAGGTCAGTTTGGGGAGAAATTAGTTTGTTTTTATAATGACACCAAAGAGAAGTTAATCGATGTAATTTAATGCTAATTTAAAAATAATGAACTTTCCGTTTTGAAAGTTCGAAGTTAAATGAAAAAATTTTAAAAATTTGAAAAAATAAAAATAACTTTCTATTAAAAAATAAATATTTCTGAGATAAGGTAGTGTAACTATTTACACTATTTACATCGTTCGGACTGTTGTCCTCATCGTTATTGCCATATTTACGGTGTTTCGGCCGTTGTACGTCCCGGCTTTCGTCAGGTGATACATGCTGGAATTTCGAACCGAGCACTTTATTGAGTCCACAAAGTGGAGGTGTGGGGATTAGATTGTTCTAATTCCACGTGCCATACCTTTTGGGGATATCTCATTTTCAGTTAATTCCCTTTAGTGACTCAGCGGATAAAAACGTTTGTTGAAATAATCCAAAAAGTGACTTGACCGAAAGAGTTGTGAGTTCAGTACCTGACCACAGCAGTGCGAAAAAAATTGAGTTACTAAAGGGAATTAACTGAAACTGATATATCCAAAAAGGTATGACACGTGGAATTAGAACACTCTACTCCAGTGGAATAAATAAAAAGCTTCGGTTCAAAATTCCAACGTATATCAATCACCTGAAGAAGGCTGGGGCGTACAACGACTGAAACGCTGCGAATATGGCAATGTAAATAGAGTAAATAAAAAAGTAAATTTAGCAAAACGAAAACGGAAACAAATATTTTACTTGGAACCATAAATATTTGGTTAAATATACGAACAGTAAGTGCGAAACGGATTAAAAATGATTTGTGCAGCTTAGCCCTTAAACGAGAATGAATGCTTTTTGTATATCGAAATATTGCAGTTGCTGAGGAAGATAAAGTATAAAAAATGAATAGAAACTTTGTTGACTGGAAATTCTAGTTGAATTATTTGTATTAGATAAAGTCATAATAGAAGCAAAGATAAAAAATAATTCTAAAATACAAAACATTACAAATAAACAAAATGACTGAATAAAAAGCCGTTTAGTGTTCGAAACTCACTCGGCAAAAAAAGAAAAGAAAAGAGAACTGAGGCATGATTGGAAGGACGAAATATGCTAACCAATTTGTCATATTTAAAATTATTACATTAAACTCAATTCAAGAATTCACAACCAATAGGATATATACGTGACTGTCATCAACATGACTTGACAGATTATATGATTGTTCAACTGGAGTATCTACATTAGGTAGTTCGTGTAAAAACTTTTGTTGTCCACATGAGAACTCTTAATTTTAAATATCAGAATAGTAACGTTTCCATTCGAAAAAGCTTGACATTTTATTAAAAATGAAAAGAAATGGTATAGGTATAACAATGTATACATGAGAAAATTCTGTAATTTACTTGGTTTAATTAAATTCAGTTAGAAAAATATAAAATTAATTTTCTGGCAAGCATCAAATTTCTAGAGAGTCTATTATATCATATTCTCGTAACAAAATTCTACACTTATAATCTACGCTGTATTTAAAATTGAGCATCTCCAGTTTGAACTGGTCCATTAATGTCAAAATAACGTCCCAGTGATAGTAAAGTTAACGGTTGATTAATTATTTACTAATTACTACTATCTAAATCTGTCAGGCAGTTTGTTTTCGTGTGTCTTCAGCGGTGTAAGATTATGGATCAGTATAATAAGGCTGTTGTCCATGAAACACAGACCGGCTCTGAAAAGAGGCGGGCTTTCTGTGATTAATCGTTCTAGATCCGTTCCTATTTTCCAATTTTGTAGTTTCCCACCCATCTCCTTGAACCATGGCAGGGGGACAGTCACCGTACTGAAAGAATCAGAAATGAGTCCTGAAAGATGGGTCAGACATAATCAATCGAGTCTTTTTAGAGAGGGAATTGGAAAAAAATATTTTAGCTGCTTCGGTCTCTCCCTTCCTAACCTCTACTGCTTTTGGCAAGAATATGTGTAAGTATATATATATATATATATCGAAATAGAAAGAGAAAAAAGGTGTGTAATGACCCCCAATGACTGGAGAAAGAATTGGTTTGATTTTGTATATGAAAGAATGTGGAGTTTCACGCTTCTTTTGTTGATTGGTATGTCTGGGTAAAATAGATTATGAATGAAAACGTACTCAGCAAAAGTGAGGAAAATGTTAGAACAGAGATAAAGAGATAGAGGGCGAAAGAGAAAGAAATAGAGACGGAGATAGAGAGAGAGAGAGAGAGAGAGAGAGAGAGAAGAAAGACAAAAAAAAGAGAGTATCATATATAGATAAATCAAGTTACAGCAATATCTACATATGGATATGGAGAAGTCAGAAATGTATAATTCAAGAAATGGAATGTAAATAATAAAAATAATAATAATAATAAACCTTTTTTGTTCATGGGCAGGATCAGTGAGGCAGTATCATGCTTAGATGTTAGGAGGGTTGATTTCTATTTTTAAATTTGAAGGATGACGCAGTCAAGGCCAACTAGGGACCACAGTTCGATACTTGGGAACACTCAATCGGAGACCGTTTGAGCAGACAGAATTACGCGACTAGAAGGCACATTTAACAGGGTCCCACTTTCAAGATTATGCTCGGCTTTTATCAATGCCTAAAAATAATTCCCGGGACATGGAACGTTAGAAAACTAAATCAGTGTGGCCAGTTAGTAAATATAATGTAGGAGGTGAACAGGTGAATATTAATAATTTCGGTGTATGTGAAATGAGGTGCTCAAACAATACAGATTTCGTCCGTGACAAACACGGGATCATATATGCAGGTGGGGATAAAAATGAAAGAGGAGCAGGACTGATATTAGACCAAGACATGAAGAAATGCATTTTGGTATACTGTCAACTATCTGAAAGAATTATTGTCGTTAAATAGTAAAGAAAAGCTTTCAATATATCTCTCATAATTTCATATGCACCGACATCACAAAGTACAGAAGAACTTGAAACATTTTACTGTACGCTAGATTAATCCAAGGCTCAAATCGCAAGAATTACGATCGTCATGGGAGACCTGGATGCCAAAGTAGGCAAAGATAGAGTTAGTGAAATAGTTGTAAAATTCGTAATAAACACGGAGAAAAATGGGTCCAATGGTTTACCGCGAGTGATCAGCTAGTAGTCAACACCTGGTTTCAAGAACACCCAAGAAGTATATGGAAATGGAGAAGCCCAAGAGGAGAAACGAAACACTAAATCAAGTATATAACTATTAATAAGATTTTCATGAATGCAGTTTTGCAGTGCAAAACATACCCAAGTGCTGACTGCACCAGTCAGCAGCTTCCAGTGATATCTAAACTTAGGGTGAAATTGCGGAAATTAAAGAGTGCCAAAGCAGCACCTAAATTGCAATACAACAGACTTTTCAATGACCAGAATCTGAATGAGAAATATATGGACAGTGAGAAAAGCAAATACCACGGGCAAAATGAAAATGGCAACTCGTTAAAAGAAACTTTAGTAATGTCAGCAATCGAGGTCATACCAAAGAAAAATAAACAAAAAAAAAAAAATGAATGACAGATGGTATTCTCGACATGAAGAAAAAGAGACAAAAAACGATGCCAAGATATGGCACAGAATACAGGATTCTGCACAAAGAAATTAGAAACAAATGCAGACAGGGTAAAGAGGAATGGCTCAACGAAAAATGGACAGAAATAGAAAGAATGTGCATCACAGATAAAGCATATATGCATACAAAATAAGAGAACTAACGGGACAAAAAGGTGGCTCATCAGCAAGATTCATAAAATCCAAGGACGGGACACTGATATTATAGTCAAAATGCATAACAAAAGAATGCATCCGGCAATACACAAAAATATCGAAGGACCAAAAATATTAAGATTTGAAGTGGAATCAGCACTGATCAAATTGAACAGAAACAAAGCAGCAGGACCAGATAGAATTGTAATATAGATGTTAACAGCCTTAAATGATTTTAGAGATATATTAAATGAGATATACAACAGTAATGATATACCATAAACACATGTAGATCCTTTTTCATTGCACTGTCTAAAAAGCCAGATGCAAACGAATTTGAACTCCATCAGTCTCTATGGAGCTGCATAACAAAATTTATCATCCGAATTCTGATGAATAGATTGCGCAGCAGAATTAGACCGGGAATAAAACAAAAACAGTGCGGCTTCATTAAAGACACTGGAACAAGAAATGCAATATCTGTACTCAGAATTATATCAGAAAGAGCAATACAAATGCAAAGAGATGTGTACCTGTGTTTTATAGATTATGCAAAAGCCTTGGAATTGATAGGTAACCTTCACATATTTGCGAAGGATATTAAAATAATCCAGAACCTATAGTGGCAGCAAACTGCCTGCATACGGATAAAAGCATAAGATATGCAGATGACACAGTCATAGAAAGGAAACAACAAGAATCCCTACAGAATGTAGTGAAGGAAAGTGAGACACCGGGGGAAAAAACATTAATTTCAAGAAGACAGAACGCATGGTTGATAGCAAAAGGAACATCCCAACACGCACATTGCAAATTGAATATACCAGAATCAAACGAGTAAAATAATTTAAATATCTGGGAAGTGTTTTAACAAATGACGGAAAGAACAATACGAAGGTACATTGGGTTAGCGAAAGATCTCTTCCAAAAGTTACACAAAGTATTAAGAGGAAAAATTTCGCTAGAAAAAAAGAAAAGTGTACTGAAGTGTTATGTAATATTAGTCTTCCTACATGATCGGAATGCTAGACAATGTCATAGATGAAGAAGAGACTTGAAACAACATACATCTGGTTCTAAGGAAGGGCGCTAAGAATACCAGTGGACGAAACGAGGTTTTAGAGAAAATAGAAACAAAAAGGACATTTATACTTAACATCAGGAAGAGAAAAGTTGAAATTTCTAGGGTGCATAATAAGGAAAGAGAGCTTGGAAAATTTGACACTTACAGGGCAGATTTAAAGCAAAAGGATCAGAAGAAAACAACGCATAAGCCACCTAGCGAGCTTGAATAAATGGACGGTGGAACAAGTCTTAGGAGAGATGAGAAAAAGACAAAATATATTAAGAGCTACAAAGGACAAGAAATTGTAGAGAGTCATGATCGCCAACGTCCAGAAGGGATACGGCATATAGAAAAAAAAAAGATCGCGCTATATCATGCACATATGGATGCGATTCATACCATTTTCAGACTAGATAATAGCCGTATTTGGCTTCATATATTTGTATTGAAGCTTCACTTTGTTAGCCTGATGCACTCTCACTTAATAATAATAATAATAATAATAATAATAGTTCTTGCTGCATAAGACCAATGCTTGCTAACTAGAAATTACCAAGCACACATAGCTGAAAAATTGTGTTGACTCCAAATGCAGATTTGGTGATAAATATCTCGAAATAATTAACCATCTTGTATCAGGTTGCACAGTGTTAGCACCAACTGAATATAAAACTCGGCATGATAGGATAGGCCAATATATGCACTGGAAAATTATGTAAATTGTCTGGGAAGGAAACTGTAAGAAACTGGTAAGAACATCACTCAGACCCGGCTACAGACATAGGACCTGTAATAATTTTATGGGACTTTACAATACACACAAACAAAACAATGAAACTAATCGTCCAGACACCGTGATCAAAGACAACAACAAAAAAACAGAATGTACTTTCTTATTTCTTATCCCTGCAGATTGTAATGTATCTTTGAAGATCTTCAAAAAACTATCAAAATTCAAGAATCTTAAAATGAAAATCTGAAAAATGTGGCACATGAGGATATCAATAATTCTAGTTGTAGTTGGAGCCCTCGGATGGATTGGGAACGGGTGTGATAGACTTATTGAAAGAATTCCTGCTAGTCCATGCCTTAACGAAATACGAAAAATTGTACTCAAAAGTACAGCTCACACATCATGAAGAACTTTATCTATGTAAAATGTGTGATCTTAATTTGTTTTATTTTACGAAAATGATCAGTGGAAAACGTCATGAAAACATTTCTGACCTTAGGTCTCTGGTTGGGATCCGGAAGGAAATGTGTATACAACATAAACCAAAGGAAATAATAATAATAATAATAATAATAATAATAATAATAATAATGGGATAATTTCCAGACAAGAGGTTATATTCATTAACACATAAACATAGGGGAGAAAAAAAGAAAGCTTCTTTATTAAGTAGATTGATACTATCGAAATATTCATTTTAATTTTTATTTATTTGTTTAATTACAACAAACTGCAGTCTTCTTCCTCAGGGTATTATATAATATCTTTCAGGATTTAACATCATATTCTTATAGAAATATTATCTAATATTCTTCCACAGAATTTAATTATAGTGCAGGAAACTTGAGTAACCTCACACTTTTCTTCTGTTTGAATGTCTTCTGGTATTGTAAGGAAACTGTATAACCAACAACAGCAACGTATTGTAATGCTTTTATACCCAGTCCTAGGGTTGTGTGTGTTTGTGTATGCGTGAAATGAAACTATAGTCAACACTCTTAAAAAGATTCATTCATTCAACTTCTGTGTGGTTTACCCGTAAGGTCAGTTTGCATTTTGTATTTTGTCTTTTCAGCCAGTCCTTTACTACTTTAAAGAAATGTGAAAAACAAAGGATAAAATAAATCCTGAATATGGAATAAATCTAGATGCAAATCGAGAGCTCAGTACAAATGCTTTTTTGCATTACATGCACAATGTAAATATGCAGTACATCCATACACTCATATATGCATCAATGGTAATGCCTGTTTTCACACGTATTCTGTTGTTCTGTGTTAAATTTTCTTTCAAATCGGAGAGGTTTTAAAGTTCTTTACAAACAGCAAGACAAACTAACTTTTGGGGGGTAGAAATCCGAAGAATAAAGGCTTTCATTGGCGAACGAGCACAATCCTTTAGGCGCGAAATATTCGAATTGGGTTTTGAAAATAAATTAACATATATTTGCTGCTTCAGCGAACTTAAATTTGAACAAAGATTTCAAAATGAAAGGAAAGGGGAACAGGAACATAAAAGAGGAGGAAGAAAAAGTTAATAATTTAGAAACAAGGGAAAGTAAAAAAGAAATGGTAAAACAAAAATGGTTTTAAGAAAATAAAGAGATGGAAATGAGAAAAGTAAGTAAAAAACGATGAAAAAAGAAATAAAAATGCAAGAAATAGAATATGGAGAAAAATAAGAAGGTTTAATGAAACGGAATTTAAAACAAATAAAAATAAACAGACCTGGAAATGAATACGGATAGCCGGTGGTTAAAGATACAGAAATATTGACAGAAAAAGAAAGGAAGACAAAAGGAATGAAAATGAAACGAGAAAAATATGAAAATATTTAAAGAAATAAGTTTGGTTAAAAAAATGGAAATGTTGGAATGAGGAAAAGTAAAAAAGAAAAACAAAAAGAATAATAAAAGTAAGAGAAGAAATACAGAATATAGAATTAAAAGTTAAAACATAAGAGAAAACAAAGGAAAAAGAGAAAGAAGGGAAAAAGAAAACAAAGGAAAAAGAGAAAGAAGGAAAAAGAAAACAAAGGAAAAAGAGAAAGAAGGGAAAAAGAAAACAAAGGAAAAAGAGAAAGAAGGGAAAAAGAAAACAAAGGAAAAAGAGAAAGAAGGAAAAAGAAAACAAAGGAAAAAGAGAAAGAAGGGAAAAAGAAAACAAAGGAAAAAGAGAAAGAAGGAAAAAGAAAACAAAGGAAAAAGAGAAAGAAGGGAAAAAGAAAACAAAGGAAAAAGAGAAAGAAGGAAAAAGAAAACAAAGGAAAAAGAGAAAGAAGGGAAAAAGAAAATAAAGGAAATATTTGCTATAAATAATTATAATAAAACAGGTTTAAAGAAAAAAAAGAAGACAAAAAAGGAAAATCGTGCATGAAGAAGACAACAAAAATGATCAGCGAAGAGAGAGTGGGAGAGAAAATTATAAAAGTTTTTTTTTCTTCTACACTCTTGACATGACACTCGACCATTTCTTGTTTGTTACGAACGCTATATTTGATTGGCCCGTTCAAACCGGTCTCGGCAACGGAAGTGCACATTTAGTGCGTTCAGCCTTTGTCTTTCTCTCGCGGTTCGTCTAACTTCATCTTTATTTAGCTTTCACTTATTCCATCAAATGTAGATATAACTCTACATGCAATAAATAAATGACAATATTGTCCCAATCTGTATTTTCTATTCCATTCATATTCTTTTACATCGTTGTTTATTTGAAACAATTTTGATAATATATTATTTGAAATGCTTTCCTGTACCCCAGCGCGATTGCCCACATTTTAATAAAATGTTGTACTGTTGATCTTTATTAAAGTGCATCGTGTTATGTTTACGCTTATATATTGTTTGATAGTATGAAAAAAATCATTTATTTCTCTTCTTCGTCTTCACTCTATTGCCCACATTGCAACAAGCAGCATTTAATTGTGGGGTTCATTATCTTTTTATATTGTATGAGCTTTGCTGTGGCTACATCCAGTTTTGAATTCGCTTAGACTGACGGCTAGAGAGTCCCGTTTACCCGGCTATTTAATTCATAGGTGGAGGGAGAAGAGATGAATTCATACTTTTGTCATGTGCATTTGTGCGAATGTTAATGTAAATAATTCGAACTCGTCTTGCCGATTTCTTTTTCCGAAATGTTAACCTAATTTAAATTTATTATAATTTAATACAATATCATCTGTTAAGTAAATGGGGCCTTGCTGACTCAGTGCATCATTAATAAAAAAAGTGTAATAATATAAACAAGTATTTTATATATATCAGTTATATTTGATTGAACTATTTTGACAGGTTTTGGTCTCCGACTCTCGTCTGAGATTTTTACTTCTTACCCAGGTGTGTTTATCCTTCTGCACTATTGAGAAAGATTAAAGAAAGAACGCTATCGGCCAGTGTTAATTCGTTCATTCTCGAACATCGAGGAAAAGCCATTGTGTACATTAACAAGTTCCACCTGTTTAAGCAAAACATCAAACACAGTTAGAGATGGGCACATGGAGCGATATATGAGCAAACATGCGTTTACAGAACATTCGCACGCGCACGCTCGAGCATGCGCGTTGTGTGCACAGAACAGAAAGAAAATGTATGAATCTGAATAGACGCGCGGAAGCCCTTATAAACAAAATACAAAGACCTTTTTTCATCTTCTGTTCCAATCGTTGACATAAAGAGATATTGAATACAAGCGACAAACGCAGATATGTGTATACGCTTTTAGAAACAAAAGTATGCAGTCATAAGTGTGTTTGAAAAATTATTGACAAGGCAGGAGTAAATGAACGTTCAGTTTAGATTTAAACATTGGTAAATAAAAAGTACTCTAAAAGACTCATTAATGCAAATATTCGTTGTTAGATATAAGAATACATGAACACATTTTTATTTTTTTGTATCTAAGTTTTCATATCTATCTTTTTATGTCAGTTTTTATCTATCTGTCGATTATCCTTGCATCCACATCTACCAGATTTAAAAGAAAAGGTATGATAAGACGGAAAGAAACAGTCAGGTAGCAAAGCATAAAATTAGAAAATATTAAATATTAACTTTAATACTATAAATGTGATAAAATTTATGAAGAATATCCCTAAACTGTGTTTCAATCTTAACAGAGGTGAAGAGTCTTTATGACAGTAAAGGAGTAAATTAATCAAAATATAACTATTAGAAAATAAATATACTCTCATAGATAAAAAAAAAAATAGATGGTTAAGATATTGGTAGATAGACAGAGTTTTTATTAGTTTATTAAAATAGTAGATATATATAATAATATCAATTTGATAGGTAACAGAATGGCAAAATGAAAAATAAATTAGGTGATGTATTTCGGCCTTCAAAAGGACTTCTTCAGATTAAATAATGTTTTTTCTTGATGAACTCCTACATATGTAGTGAGATGAAACAAAATACAAATAAACGTCAGCTTTAAGTATACAGTGAAAAAAATTCTGGAACGGCAGGGACGCCTAAGTTTAAATTTAAAAGTTAAATTTCTGGCATCCAGTGTCTCTAGATGCACAACCTTGCCTAGACTTTATACACGAGTATATACCAATGAATCTGGACAGGAGTATATATATATATATATATATATATATATATATATATATATATATATATATATATATATATATATATATATATATATATATATATATATATATATATATATATATGTGTGTTTTACAATATTTTTTAATCTAGCAAAATTCATCTGTATACTTTTTCTTTTTCTCTCCATCACCATTGTCTCTCATTATCCCATTGTGACAAAAGAAAATCTAACAAGAATATTGATATATTGTAAGAGCCTATATGCAAATTTACCGTGGCTGAACTAGCGATCAAAGCACTTTCCAACATTTTTCGTCTTAGTGGATTATTTTCTCTTTTAATCAAAGTAGCATTTCCTATGTCAAAATTATGATCAATTTCGTTACGGCGGACAACCAATGCGTTTTGTGTGTTGTTTTTTAAAATGTTCCTTTTGTGATGATTATAGTCTTTCTTCTTGAGCTTTCTCCAATGTATTCATTCTGGCAATTCCTGCATTTGATAGAGAAAATTCTTCCTTCGAGTTTTGGCTTTTTGTTATGTTTTTTTATTGATTAAGTCTTGATTGTTTTAGATGTAGTTGTAGCAAATTTTTATTTTGAGTTTAGATAAATTCTTTTCGGTTCTAGTTGTGATAGAATTAGTGGATAGAATAATGTATTTTTTATTCGTTCGATTTGCCAGGAAGGACAGCTCTTCTATTTTGGAATATTTTACGAGCCTTTTGTTTCGAAATAGTTAGGGTATTGAAGGGTTTTTAAAGTATTTTCAGTATATTTCTCCTCTTTGAGGGCTGCAAATTCTGAGTGCTCTTAAAAAGAATCCAGTGATCATTCCGGATTTTATTTTGTTGTTATGATGCGAATAGAAGTTTATTAAGTCATTTTTATTGGTTGATTTTCGGTGGACACTAAGATTTAGGCCGCTGTCATCTCGGTGTAACATGATGTCTAAGAAAGATAAAGTATTGTTTTTTTTTTGTATTCCGTATGTAAATTCTATTGTATGTTCGACTTTGTTTAGTTTATCTACAAGATTCGGTAAGATAGTATCACAGGGACATAGTAATAGAGCATCATCAATATATCGGAAGTAAGTTGATTGTTTAGGTAAAATGTTTTCATATATATATATATATATATGTGTGTGTGTGTGTGTGTGTGTGTGTGTGTGTGTGTGTGTGTGTGTGTGTTGTGTGTGTCCTGTAGGCAGGTATTAATAGATTGAATAAAATAAATGAAAATAAGAAACTACGCTATTTTTTTTCTTTATTTCAAGGGATCTATTTTTATTTTTCATTCTTTTTTTTTTTCTTTTCAATTTTAATTACCGTCAAAAATCCGGCCAAGAGTGCACTATTTATTGTTTGATTCGTTCTCTCATCCCCGCTACCATATTTCTTTCCGGATTCTTTTTTTTTTCTAACTTTTTTTTATGCTTCCAGCATCAGCTCATGTTTGTCATTACGTCACAATCCAAATCTCCATCAACGTTGCCTTGGAAGTTGGCGTTTGTTGGGGGAAAGCCCAGATCCCAAGATTATTGGGACAACAACAACAAAAGAACGACGCGTTAAGCCAGACACTGAAGAGGTAAGGGGGGGGGACACAGAAAAAAACAACATTTTCATTTCAAAATTAATTCAGTCTGTAAATATATGTATTTTAAAACTGATACAAGAATAATTATCGTTAGTAGAAGAATAGATGAGCGATCAGTAACCAGATTGCAGAAGAGACTTTTCGATTTAATTTTTAATAAAACGTTTTCTTCGAGGGGTCATCTCTCACAAATAAGCAAGAAATCACAAGGTTTCGGCCGGTAACCAACTATTTCCTCCCGGTCATTGTGTGTAGATTATTGTCTTGTGTAAACGCATACAAATAAAAGCAGAAAGGAAAAAGAGGGTGACTTTATTCAAAATATTCTTTATGTTGCATCCACGGCGCTAGGAGAGTTTGGGTGGCTAGGGATTTCAGACCCCCCTCTGCCTCTTTGCTGTAACAGACAATTAAACAGAAGACTAAACTCGGTCTCAACCTATAACAATGCAATATCATTTGTCTAGAATCATTACCTCCATTCATTTTCAAAATAAATCATAAAACGTCAGTTCCTCGAAACATTATCTTCTTTTATATAACACTTATAAGTGGAAAAATCCATAGGTCCCATTTCAGAAAATAAACACAAAAAATGAGTATTTAAAAACAAAGAAAAATGCTTACAGAAGAATAATAAATCTAAAACTATTTATTTTATGAGAAAGTCGGATAAGAAAAAGATAGAATCAGGAATCTTTAAAATTAAATATCTGTATTAGTATATCTCGACTTTTAATATCTGACTTAGTATTACGACTTTTAATGTCTGTCTTAGCATCATCGTCTTTTGATATCTGTCTTAGACCACCCGACTTTTAATATCTCCTTTAGCATCACCCGAATTTTAACATCTGCCACAGCACCCCGGCTTTTAACATCTGATTTAGGCTCCCGACTTTTAATATTTGACTTAGCACCCCACGACTTTTAACATCTGATTTATCGCCACGACTTTTTATTTAGTAACGCCGTGCCTGTGTTTAAATGAAATTTAGCGAACAGAACAACGAAGAGTGAAATTTTTAACAAAGAAAGAGAAAAAATATCAAATTAGTACTGTGAATTTTTGTTAATTTTCTTTTTACGTTTGGATTTTAAACGAATGCAGAATAATATGAAGATTGATTGTTAATATAATTCATAAATATATACAGAAAGAAATCTCGATTGGCGAGAAAAGGACAAATATCAGGAGAAGTCAGGAAGGAATTACAATTTATTAAGAAATAAATCATAAAAAATTAAAAAAAAAAAAAAAAAATTCGCTCCAATCCCTAAGTTTGTAGCACGGTTTAAATAATGCAATTAATATGCGTGAGTTAATGTATGTGAGTTGGGAGAGGTTCCGAGATAAACTGATTAAAAACGATAGAAGCTGAAAGTGAAGTGGAATAGAGTAGGTAAATCGACAGAGAACTGACAGATTACGAGAAGGTATATGTGACAATGAGAGAATGAGACATGAATAACTGAAAAAGCTATTAAAATAGATAGATAGATAGATAGATAGATAGATATGAATGACCGAATCGATAGGTAAACAAAAACAAACAGTAAATACGTAAAGATGCACATCTAGTGAGAGATAGTCAGAGACACAAATAGTTTTAATTTTTTTAAATTCCGACATTCAGAAGAATGACTGAAGGAATATCTTTGTTCAGTGTAAAATAGACGCTATTTTCATCGCAATTATTTTGCTAAAATTAGTCTCATGTTCCTTCCTCTCATTTTTTTCGGCCACCCCGTTCGCAACGTATCTTTGTAGTTGTTTTATTTTCATCTCACTCTTCTTCCGCCGCCTCCTTCTTCGCCGCCGCTCACTTTCCCGTCGTGCATCTCTTGTCGATAACGTCTTTTTTTACTTTCTTTATTTTTTTGTTGTTCGTTCCCACCCCACGAATAACACCAGTTTTCCGTTGGAGAATTGACTCGACCCAACATGGTTACGTTCCTTCCCCAAACCAGCCATTCGCGAAATTTTCATTTTATCTTGTCTTATGTTGTTAGACGATCAAATCGGAGTCTGCGTTTTATCATGGCTTCTTTTATTTATTGCATGGCAAGTATCAGAAAAGAGCTGAAAAAGTTCGCTTGGCAAATAAATTTTGTTTTAAAATCTCTTGACTATTACTCATGTGCTATTTCGTGTTATATTTCTTATGTTTATAGATAAATTTCGCATTCCCTTAAAGGTCAGCCTATTAAAGATTGTGCGATGGAGGTACTTCTCAAACACGTAAACACTAAAGTTCACAAGGAACTTTCCACACTGATGTTATTAGCCAAACTATATTATTTATCATAATGTCATAGTAAGCACATTGAACACGAAAGCCATTAACAAGTTCTTTATTGTCTGCTCTGTAAATAAATAGTTGAAAATGTTAGCAACATTAAGGAAATAGCTATACGCCTCTGATAGTTATTTTTGTCTCCAAAAGAATATTGGTGATTAATAGCGCCTTATTTTCAGGTGAGACAGAGGACATATTTGACCAAGACTTTGCGAACACTATCTTAATACCATTTCTCACTTCTTTTCTTTTACTAATTTTCACCCAATACAAAGACCGGGAGATACTCAAGACCGAGTACTGTCGAAATGGTATTGATGAATAAGGTGGGTGATATGAATGGAACAGAAATTGATAGCAAATGGAGATTATGACTGCAAAGCGGGGGGGGGGGGGTAGATAAAGATTGACTCTTGAAGATGGGGCTAGAGTGTTCAGGGTAGTACTTAAGCGGTAGTCTGCCCTACAAAGTGGCAGTTCTCGAGGAAAAGCTATCTGAGTGAAATCGTTTCTTATATTTGCAAAACAGCAAAAATAAAGGTTATTGGACTCCGTGGAAATAAAATTCCTTGTCCTAGAAATAAAAGTCTGCACTAACGAGTGGGACGCTTCTGGAACATCGAGAGAGCAGCGACGGATTTGCAACGTCTTTTCATGGCGTATCAACCGGATTAATCTTTGCCTGGTGTTAAATCTTTTAATCTTCCATAAAATCATTCCACAATGAAGAAGACCAAATATTTTTCGAAAAATAATAAAATTGAGGAGATTAAAAAAAACATAGAAATAAAAATATGCAGACAAAAAGAGAGAAAAAAAAACAAAACAAGAAAAAGTGAAATTGAACGTTCCCCCGTAAGTCTCTCGTAGTAATATTTGCACAACGCTCAATTATTAGGCTATGTGTTGAATAACAAATTGAGATTGGATTCTCGCGCCATGGTTGGCATCCACTCTAGGAGGAGGGCGACTTTGAATTCAAAACATGTTGTTTTGTCAGTGGGTAGATAGAAGTACCGGGTATGTAATCCTGGCGCAGCACATGATAGAACCAGTGGAACTTTCCAGACGCCTAACATTATTAAATTTATAGACGCATACAAAACACCGAGTAAGGAAATATGTTGACATGAAACCAATGGAGTAAACAGAATAATTCCAGCCCCACCCCCAAACTACTACCCATCCTTCTTACATGAAATAGGACAATATTTGAAGATGAGACAAGACTATTAACAGATAAGATTAAAACAATAAATGCGTAATGTAGAAATTTGGCAAACATTTATGAACGCGTGACACACACAACGTTAATCTCTCCGCATTCCTGGGAATGCAAAAACTTTTGCGAGGATGTAATCGGGATAGGGTTTCTCTTTAAAATGAAATGCAGGTAGATTATTTCAGGTGCATACCTACTACGCCTTTCGATAAACATTTCCAAACCCTCTTATTAACTATTTACATATGCCCACGCACATATTATTTTCTCATTTAGACTTAAGGAAACCCATAGACACACACGCGCGCAAACGCACACATGCATACACACACACACACACATATATATATATATATAAAGGCCGCCCCGAAATGTATACACATTTCAGGAAAGGAAAAGCAAAAAGAAATCTTTCATAGTTTTATCAAATTGCGATAACACTGTTTACTGTAGTACGATATTTTCTCGACAGATGGCATTATCCTTATGGCTGTAGCATCAACAAGTGATGTCTGCAACTGGAAATTTTGGCCAATGTTGCCCAAGCATTAGTTGGCCATACTAACAAATGTTTGGAAGCTGAAGGCCACGATTTTAAGCATCTCTTGTGATTGTTGACCCCAAAGATAACTTGTATTAATCGCGTGATGGCTGAATAAATTTAGTATTACCTATACAAGTTTTTCCTTTCCTGAAGTGAGTATACATCTTTGGAGCGGAATCTGTATATATATATATATATATATATATATATATATATATATATATATATATATATATATATATATATATTTCTTGTAACTGTAGGCGAAAAGAGTGGTCAATATCACTGATAGAGATTGAAGAGACACTGATGTGTGAAAACTCTCATCATGTCTACACTCTCTCTATATATTTATCCATCTATATCTATATCTATCTATCTATCTATATATATATATATATATATATATATATATATATATATATATATATGTTGGGGCGCACCCACCTTCTAACTAGTAATGGACTGGTCCCTCTTATATAAGTCAGCTCTGGGGAGAGTCAGGTTTAGCAGCCCAGATACTTTCTGAGCGACTGCTCGGTTCAACTCTCTTCCTACAGGCGAGGAACCCGAAGGAGGCTACGCCGAAGGGCGGAGTCTCCTTCAGGGAGGTCCCGGCCCTGAACCCCGTTTATACGGGTTCAAATGGGCTATTTTTGGCCGAGCCTAATGGCTTGGGAATGCCCACATTAAAAAAGGCCTTGTGCCGCATGACGCCCTCGTGGGGGTGGCTAAATATCTTAGCAGCCCAGATACTTTCTGAGCGACTGCTCGGTTCAACTCTCTGTCTCCGGACAGAGGAACCCCGGAGGCTACGCCGAATGGCGGAGTCTCCTTCGGGAGGTAAATCGGCCCTGAACCCGTTTATACGGGTTCAAATGGGCTATTTTTGGCCGAGCCTAATGGCTTGGGAATGCCCACATAAAAAAGGCCTTGTGCCGCATGACGCCCTCGTGGGGGTGGCTAAATATCTTAGCAGCCCAGATACTTTCTGAGCGACTGCTCGGTTCAACTCTCTGTCTCCGGACAGAGAGGAACCCGAAGGAGGCTACGCCGAAGGGCGAAGTCTCCTTCGGGGAGGTAAAACAACCCTGAACCCGTTTATACGGGTTCAAATGGGCTATTTTTTGCCGAGCCTAATGGGTCGGGAATGCCCACGTTAAAAAGGCCTTGTGCCGCATGACGCCCACGTGGGGGGTGGCTAAATATCTTAGCAGCCCAGATACTTTCTGAGCGACTGCTCGGTTCAACTCTCTTCCTACGGGCGAGAGGAACCCGAAGGAGGCTACGCCGAAGGGCGGAATCTCCTTCGGGAGGTTAAACTCGGCCCTGAACCCGTTTATACGGGTTCAAATGGGCTTTTTTGGCCGAGCCTAATGGCTTGGGAATGCCCACATTAAAAGGCCTTGTGCCGCATGACGCCCTCGTGGGGGTGGCTAAATATCTTAGCAGCCCAGATACTTTCTGAGCGACTGCTCGGTTCAACTCTCTGTCTCCAGACAGAGGAACCCGAAGGAGGCTACGCCGAATGGCGGAGTCTCCTTCGGGGAGGTAAACTCGGCCCTGAACCCGTTTATACGGGTTCAAATGGGCTATTTTTGGCCGAGCCTAATGGCTTGGGAATGCCCACATTAAAAAGGCCTTGTGCCGCATGACGCCCCCTCGTGGGGGGTGGCTAAATATCTTAGCAGCCCAGATACTTTCTGAGCGACTGCTCGGTTCAACTCTCTGTCTCCGGACAGAGGAACCCGAAGGAGGCTACGCCGAAGGGCGAAGTCTCCTTCAGGGAGGTAAACCGGCCCTGAACCCGTTTATACGGGTTCAAATGGGCTATTTTTGGCTGAGCCTAATGGCTCGGGAATGCCCACATTAAAAAGGCCTTGTGCCGCATGACACCCTCGTGGGTGGGTGGCTGAATATCTTAGCAGCCCAGATACTTTCTGCGCGACTGCTCGGTTCAACTCTCTTCCTACGGGCGAGAGGAACCCGAAGGAGGCTACGCCGAAGGGCGGAGTCTCCTTCAGGAAGGTTAAATCAACCCTGAACCCGTTTATACGGGTTCAAATGGGCTATTTTTTGGCCGAGCCTAATGGCTCCAGGAATGCCCATTAAAAGGCCTTGTGCCGCATGACGCCCCTCGTGGGGGGGGGACTAAATATCTTAGCAGCCCAGATACTTTCTGAGCGACTGCTCGGTTCAACTCTCTTCCTACGGGCGAGAGGAACCCGAAGGAGGCTACGCCGAAGGGCGGAGTCTCCTTCGGGGAGGTTAAACCAGCCCTGAACCCGTTTATACGGGTTCAAATGGGCTATTTTTTGGCTGAGCCTAATGGCTCGGGAATGCCCACATTAAAAAGGCCTTGTGCCGCATGACACCCTCGTGGGTGGGTGGCTGAATATCTTAGCAGCCCAGATACTTTCTGCGCGACTGCTCGGTTCAACTCTCTTCCTACGGGCGAGAGGAACCCGAAGGAGGCTACGCCGAAGGGCGGAGTCTCCTTCGGGAAGGTAAA